TTGGTCTGAGCTTCAACAGTTCTGACGCACTAACTGATATTGCAAGCGACTGGCTTCAACCACTTCATCATCTGCAGTGATTGGTGCAACTATTAAAACAGAACTGCTACCCTGGTGAGTGCAATGGCTTCGCTGGCCAAAGAGCTTAACATCACAGTTGAGCAGAAATTATCACCAAGGGCCGTATCCAAATGGATGTGGATTCAGTCCATGGCACTATTGAACGATGGCTCTAAAACGCACTGATGTACATCCCAATGGACTACGTGAACATCATGCTCCAAGCCAGACGCATCCCCAAGCTCTTTGAAGTTGTGTACCTGGGCCACAGCTTTTTCAAAGATTTTGCAAAGGTCGGAGAGCACTAAACAATCCGTCCAGGGAGAAAAGCAGGCGATCCTACTGTCACTGACTTGCAGGCATCAAAGTACACTCCATACTTTACAATTCAGTACAAGCTGAACTTTGATGATGGATGGCAGGCGCTGCAAGGACCAAGAAAGCTGAACACCCAATGTACGACGGTTACTGCTGGACCTCTCTGCAAAGACAGATTGAAGATAACTGCCAAACAGTATAAACACCTACAGGAGTTGAAGGCCGTCGTACCACGATGCTACCACAATTACCATGGAACTTTGCCTGAGTAAGAAGTTTTGAAAGCCATCAAGTCAAATTCGATTTTTGTTGAGTCTTTCAAAACAATGGTAACTTTTGTCGCATTGCCTTGTTGTAGCCACAGGACACAGAGTGAGACAGGCATGCTCTTCTATTGTTGAGAAAACTCAATAAAGTAGTAGGTGTCAAGCCACGCACCTTGAAGAAAGTTGGCGCATTCTTTGATACTTACAAATTCTTTTTGCATAATAATAATAATATATTATTATTATTATGAAGCCAACTTCACTCAAACCATTGCTGAGGGAGCAGAGCTTCTGTGTGGCTTTCTGCTTTCTTTTCTTTCTTAGTATTACTTTTTTCCAGGCATTTGAAAGGCCGCCCAGAGCCAATAGTACCGTGTCAGACACTGTCATAAATTCTAAAGGCCTGCTGCTGCTGCTGCTGCTGCTGCTGCTGCTGCTGCTGCTGCTGCTGCTGCTGCTGCTGCTGCTGCTGCTGCTGCTGCTGCTGCTACTGTTGTTTTTGTTCTTGTTGTAGTTGTTGTTTTTGTTGTTATTGCTGTAGCTGCTCTCCCTTACCCTACCAACCTCCTGTTCTTCTACTTCAAATGTAACTAATATACCTATTGCTGAATTCTGCTTCTTCTACTTCTATTAAATGTTCCAATTTGTGACTGCTGTTTTTGCCAGAATTGACTCCGTAGCACTGAAATAACAGCAGCTAATAGTATGTTGGTAGCAGTAATATCGTTCTCCTCCTCTTCCTTCTTACTCCTCCTCCTCCTTTCTCCTTATCCTCCTCCTCCTTTCCCTCCTCCTCCTTCTCCTTCTCCTCCTTTCCCTCATCCTCCCCCTCCCTTCTCCTTATCCTCATTACTTCTCCTTATCCTCTTATCTTCTCCTTATCCTCCTCCTCCTTTCCCTCATCCTCCTTCTTCTTCTCCTCCTCCTCCTTTCCCTCATCCTCCCCCTCCCTTCTCCTTATCCTCCTCCCCCTTCTCCTTCTCCTCCTCCTCCTTTCCCTCCTCCTCCCTTCTCCTTCTCCTCCTCCTCCTTTCCCTCCTCCTCCTTTCTCCTTCTCCTCCTCCTCCTTTCCCTCCTCCTCCTTCTCCTCCTCCTTGCCGTCTCCTACATAGATCATGTACAGCATG